GTCGCATGTTGATTATGCTGTAGTATAATCGATTATGCTGTCGATTATGCTATCGCATAATGATTATGCTGCAAGAATGCTACCCACATTTCGATTATGCTATAGCATAATTGCACCACATAATTGACTTCGGGGTCATTTTTGAAAATTTTCATATACGAACCCACTTTGATAAATAAGCTTTGGGGCTTCATTTGGGACTATTTTACACTAAATGTAGAGAGAGGTGAGAGTATTTTAGAGAGAGAAAGAGGGAACCTAGCCTCCTAATCATCAATCTTGCACAAACCCTCAAGAATCAAGCATGTTGATCTCTAGCTCACTATCTTCCGGGTAAGTCCTACTAATATTTCATATATGAGATTATAAGTTAAAAAATATATTGTGGGGTTAGAAATAGGCCATGCATGTGACACTAAGCTATAGTATGTGGGATTAATGAACTATTTTGGGTAGTTCTTGATGAAATTGGGTGAGGGAAGAAGGAATTTCCATTGTAGAACCTTGTAGTCTATTTCACATGATTAGGTGTTTGATGAAATTCCTAAGAGAGTTACACCACGGAATATCTTTCTAAATTATTAATTGATTTTCGCTTTCTCCTTATAGATTATTACTGCTAGAGATGTTGGTGCATTGTAGTAACTTAGGGAAAGCTTAACCAGGTATGTTGGCTAAACTTTATCTCTCGAAATGGAATTCCATAATGTTTTCTGTAAGTTTAAGTATAATCGGCTCAAAATTTCTAATTCCCACCCTCCGGATCATCCCGGAGGAACTCGTAAAGCTTGATTATTCCGAATGAGCCTTATATCAAACTTTAGACGTTTAATGTATGGATTCATTATTAAAATGGTATGACTCTGAGTCGTAATTTAAATGAAGACTAGCATACCCATTTGGGTGAGGAAAACTCGATGAATTTATTACTCCTAGATGCCCATATGTGTACTAAATGCCTTGATTGAGTGTGTTTAGCCGATGATAGACTATAAAGAATACTTGGAATGAATTAAGACAGCATAACTCGGGGGATATTATATATATATATATATATATATATATATATATATATATATATATATATATATATATATATATATATATATATACGAGCCTCGACTCAACTATTTAAGATAACTTAAAAAATGTGGAATCTGCCTAAAAGCTCTTTGAGGCCTGTATGGCTGACTCCATTCTTCTTAGAATCAAATCATTGGTGTTTGAATACTTGGTATGAGTCCCTTACTTGATCATATAGAATTGATTACTTAATGTGATATGTTGAAAGGTTTCTGCTCCCTAATTGTTCTATGTGTTACCGTGTCACCATGCTACTTGAAAATGTGAATTATGATCCTACATGCTCCTTCTATTATGTGTGCAATTCATTACGTGTTGGTTCTCGTCAATATGGAAGATGATGTTATTGAACGAATAAAAAGGGAAAAAGACTCCAAATGAAACATGAGCCCAAGTTCCAAGAATTATGAAATAAATGATGGAAATGAAATGTGAAATGAGGAATTAATTGAATTGGTTATGTTTGTGTTTATAATTGCTAATGAACTTGAGATATATGATTTCTGAAATACGTTATACGTTGGTAATTAGTGATGATCCTTGAAATTAAAAGAAGTGAAAGTATGGAATGTGAAACACGGCCATCGTGCCATGAATAGAGAAACTTGTGAAAGGCCCAAAGAGCCAAGGAAATGTTGCTATTGTGAGAGGTTGGAAATGTTAATAAAGATTTGTACAAGGTGAAAGATTCTGAGATGATTGCATTCCTATATGTGTATATGTGTTACCTTTGTGTGCAAATCCATATAATAGAAATACATATATAATAATATTTTGGGAGATCGATAGTCACCGAGGAAGGGTAGGTTGAAATAACCTAACCCCGAAACTACACGTGCCGGTGTAGGGTGCATTGTGGAATATTGGGATGAGATTGTTGGTAGATATGGATACGAAGAACCACATGGCACTATGGTAAGACGGCTTAGCAGATCGGGCCGAGATCGGATGCCATGCCGCACACATGGTGGCAATTCGTGTTGGAAATTGTGATACAAAATGTGATTGTGGTTACACCTTCAAATAAGGTGGCTTAGCCGATCGGGCCGAGATCAGACTCCGTACCAAGAGTACGATGGCATTGTGAATAGTGATATCGTGACTTGTGGTATTATCGGTACTAAAGATCTCCCCAAACTAAAATATGCAATACTTTCGCAAATTCGAAAGGAGTTAATTAACATGTTTCAATTGCACATTTAGATATAATTGATTGAAATTTGTCGTTTCTGTGCCTTTCCTTTCCTTGTATAGTTATTCTATTTTGAAAGATGATTTTTAGCTTTACATACAAGTACTATTCGACAGTACTAACATCCCTGTTGCCGGGGACGCTGCATCTTTAATGGATGCAGGTGTTTCCACAGTAGGCGGCAACGATCAAAGATAGCGGTATGTTCCTCCCAGCTAACTTGGTGATTCCCACGTCATTTCGGGGTCCTGTGTCATTTGGTTATTGTGTATTATTCATTTGATACTCTTCAGTTGTATTTAGAGGCTCCATAGACAGGTTGCGGGTGGTGTCAGATATTGGAATTAAACTAGAATTATTGGTATTTGGCAAATATATTTTTTATCATATCTACAAAGATTGTAATATTCTGGATATTATGGTTGAAACTGCTAATGAAAACAAAATGGAAAGTTAATGAAATATTTATACAGTATGGTTGATAGAATTTATCTCCTATCTATTCATAAATTGGTTTGGGTAGAATGAAACCTAACAGGCTTGTTCAGTCGGGTTTACTCGGTTGAGCGCCGGTCGCGCTCCTTGGTTTTGGGGCGTGACAACTACCTAATTAATTATTGGATAAAGTTTAAATTCCCCAACAAAGGAATTACGTGGCAGCAAGCCACTTTCCAAACAAGTGACTCTTAGTCACTTTGGATTATGTGGCATGATGAAATGGACTTTGAGAAAGGGAGTGGCATATCGGAAAAAGAAATAAACACTTGTCCCGCAAACTATCGTCGTCTTCCTGGATAATGATCTCCGATAATGCTTGCTGGATGTGCAACTGCTTGTTGTTTATTGTGAGCATATTAGAGTTGGTCATAAGAATGTCATAGGAGAAAGGATTTCTAACATACATTGGAATGGTCTTATATCTTATTTGGATAACGAAAAAGTTCTCTACTTTGACATTGATTTTCAAGAACAAGAAGCAACATGCTCAAACAAATTTTTCAAATGTGATTTGCTTCATCAATTCATATGAAATGGCTTAATACTATAGCAACGTGGGGATTTGTGATTCTAAGGGAGTACGAGTACGGTGCAATCCTTCTAAAGAATATCATACGATTTTTTTTCCTACTCCAGGTATGTTAAGGTTATCCCTTCTTTCTTTTCGGCATGATCTATAAGACACAAACGAAACGAGCAAATACACACTTTCGATAAATGACTCTATTCATAAAAATACTAGAGATGCTTATGTTCTTGATTCCCCGTGTGTCATATTATTCTATCATCTGTTCATGGGTCTCAGAAATTACGTAAGTTGATAAAGGTTATTTCATGATATTAATCAAAGGCATAATGGTTATGACACTCCGAAAGATTTTATTGATGTACTTTCTCATGCATTGAATTCATTTATACATGTACATTGACCCATGACCAGATGGCGTTATATACACATATATATGTATATTATATGTATATGGGATATGGAAAAAGGTTACGGCGTTATATACGCACCACCACATGATCAGACGGTATACGTTGATGATTTTGCCCACAGTGGCCGAGATGATATGATGGGATGCCCTCAGAGGCTTGATGATGTTATGAACATATGTACCTATGCACGACATGACATACATACACATATGCATGACATTATGAGTATTTCATTATTTACAGAGTTATTCAGACTTACATGTCAAGTATTTTACTCCATGTTTCTCTCATGTCTATTATTTACTGATTTTCATTCCTTACATACTCGGTACATTATTTGTACTGACGTCCCTTTTGCCTGGAGACGCTGCGTTTCATGATCGCAGGTCCCGATAGACAGGTCGAGAGTCCTCCAAGTAGGCTATTAGCTCAATGGAAGATGTTGAAGCACTCCATTGCTCTGGGGTTGCTTATTTGGTCAGTATGATTAGTACATGTATTGGTGGTACGACAGGGTCAGTCCCGACCTTTATGATAAGTATGTACTCTTAGAGGCTTCTAGACAGATGTCATGTGTACAGATATTTGTATGGCCTTGTCGGCCTATATTTAAAATATATAATGGATCACGTTGGCCTTATAGGCCCGTATGTCATAGGTATAAGTTTCTATGTTAGGTTGGGTCGTTCTATGTCGGGTATTCCCTCATGTTTACTTTGGTTGTATCATGACGCGCCTTCTGGCCCACCTATCTATGATGATCTAATAAGGAAGATACGTTACGTTAGTACTCGGTTGAGTAAGGTACCGGGTGCCTGTCGCGGCCCATAGGTTTTGGTCATGACACAATTAGTGTAGTCCTAAAGGATTAGGGATGGGGAACAATCCTTGAACAGATATGCACAATTGACTGAGGAATAAGAATTGAAGAAGAAGAAGAATGTGATTTATTGATAGAATACACAATTTCTTTGAGGTGATTACAACCAATGCCCTCTTCCTGTATTTAACCTCTTATCCCCTTCTCTATCGAATGCCAACTGATTAACAAGCTGACTCCTAACAACTTCAACAACTATACCCGACTATTAACTACTTTTATAGTGAAAAGCTACTATTCCTTTAGGCTAATACCCCTACAGTTATAGCTCATAACAAATTTCCCCCACTCAAAGAGTCCTTGTCCTCAAGGACTGAAATGAGAGAACTGCTGAGATAGTTAATGAGTATCTATCTAAGTGTTGTCTTCCTCTGGATAGTTGAACCATTTGATCAATACTTGGTCAACCTATTTCCCTCTAGATTGGACTGATCTCCTGTTTAAAATAGCTTCAGGCTCTAAGACAATGTGGCCATGAGTTGATAATGAGACTGGCAAGTTTGGAAAAATAGCCACGTTCCCAATGTATTTCTTCAATTGTGACACATGGAAAGTGTGGTGGATTTTGGCCTGGGGTGGAAGTTCCAATTGGTAGGCAATTGTGCCCACTTTTTGCAGAACTTTGAATAGTCCAAAGTATTTAGTATTGAGCTTGTGATAAGAGTGTCCTTTTAGGGACATTTGCTTGTAAGGTTTTATCTTGACAAAGACCAAATCTTCTGTCTCAAAGTTTCTGGGAGATCTCTTCTTTTCAGCCTGGGCTTTCATCCTACATTGTGCCTGTTGCAGATGATGCTTGAGCAGCCTGATAGTTGATTCTCTAGCCTGCAAACTCCTATCCACTTGATCAACCATGGAATGATGAGCTACATAGGGTAAGTGAAGTCGTGGTTTTTGTTCATACACTGCTTCAAATGGAGTCATTTTGATAGCAGTATGATAGTTGGTGTTATACCACCATTCCTCAAGGGATAACCATTGTACCCACTCCTTTGGCTTTCACTGCACATGCACTTGAGATCACCTTCTAGGAATTTGTCCAAAGTTTCTGTTTGCCCATCTGATCGAGGGTGATAGGTAGTGGAATGATGTAGTTGAACTCCTTGTTCTTCAAATAAGTCTTGCAAAAACTTGCTTAGGAATATAACATCTCAATAATTGACTATAGTTTGAGGTAGCCCATAGAGTTTATAGACATTGTCTAAGTAAGCTTGAGCCACTATAGGAGTTGTATAAGGGTGTACCAATGCAATGAAATGAGCATATTTGCTCAACCTGTCCACTACTACCAAGATCACAGATTTGTTATGTGCTTCTATGAAATCCAAACTAATGTCTTGCCAAATTTTCTCAAGAATATGGAGTGGTTGTAGTAGGCCTGGGTATTTAACATTCTCCCCTTTGCACTTTTGACAAGTTTCACAACTCTTGATGTGATTATAAATGTCTTGCTTCATCTTCTTCAAATAGTATAGTTGACCAACTTTGAAGATAGTGGAACCTATACCTGATTGATGACCTAATGCTGAATTATGTAAATATTACAGGACCTCCTCCTTGAGAACAGGTTCAGGACCAATGACAATCCTTCCCTTATTGTATAAGATCCCAACATGTAATAGGTATATTGGATTAGACAAAGGCCTTGCTTGTAGTTGAGTTAGCAGCTTCTGTATATGGGGATCTCCTGTATATGACTGTTGGAGCCTTAGAAGAAAATCAGAAGTAATAGTAGTTAGCATCTGCATCTGAACTTGTGCAGCAGGGCACCTTGATAAGGTATCAGCTACTCTGTTGTCCTTCCCTTTTTAAAAAGTATAGTGTAGTCATACCCCATTAGCTTGGCCAACCATTTCTGTTGGCTAGGAATTGAAATCCTTTGTTCTAATAAGTATTTGAGGCTTTGATGGTTTGTCCTAATAAATAAATGCTTCCCAATTAAGTAAGGCCTCCATTTGTTAATGGCAGTTACAATGGCCAGCATTTCCTTTTCATAGACTGATAATTGTTGATGTTTTGGACTCAAAGCTTTTCTCATGTAAGCTAAGGGATGTTCAGCCTGCATTAACACTGCCCCAATACTATCACGACTCAAAATCCCTCCGAAGGAGTCGTGATGGCACCTAGTCTCTAAAACTATGTAAGCCTAACACATACCGAAATGATAACAGATTCTACTAAACAGCTATTGAACATGAACCAGAAATTTCTAAATGAACCAAAGGTCTCAGCCTGATACAATATCCCAAAATCGATAGTACAAGTCAAAGCCTTTCTAGGAGTAATTATACATAACAAATACATCACTGTTCCGGATTAATAGGATACAATGGAAATAAATATAATAGAAGGCGACTTCGTAGCCAGCAAACATCCAGCAGGGGAATCTTGAAGTCTCCAGCCGCACAAGCATGAATCTCTAAACCAACTCGATCCGAGGTACTTGGTTCTGCACAAAAATATGCAAAAGCATAGCATGAGTACACCACAGCGGTACCTAGTAAGTATCAAGCCTAACCTTGGTAGAGTGGTGATGAGGATAGGTCAAGACGCCCACCGAACATCTAAACCTATGCAGGTTATGCCATAAAGCCAACAAGGAAGGAATATCAAAGTAATGTCAATAGCAGAAGGAAACTAGATTACAAACAGTAGTAATGATAAGGGAAACACGAATAGCAACAAGAAATAACCAAGTAATTAAACAAAAACATATTTGGGGTACGGATGAAGTATAAATGTGCTCAAGTAGGGAAAACGATGTCAACTCAACCAATCAAATCATCTCTAATACACAATTTCAATAATCCCACTTCTCGTAGTTAATCACAACTTCCAAACCTCTAACACACATGGCACCTTGTGCCTATAGCTTTCCATCTCACTTTCGCACGGCAAAATCCATGTACTACTCGATACACAATATCTATGTGAAATGCTAATTAGGATGTTCAAGAGATTTGATTCATATATCATAAACTGAAATCCCAGTTTCTAGACCAAGTAGGAAATCAACGAGAAAGATGAGTTTATTTTAGAAATATTTTGGGTGAAAAAAGGTAACATTTTCAAATAAATACAGCATCGAATAAGCTATCGAATTTAATATAGAATTTATTAAAATAAAACATAATAACAATTCCTTTTTTAATCATAATAAAATCGTCAGATAGGTTAAGGAGATAAAGTTGAGAAATCAATTGAAGTAAAATATGACAACTATTAGAAATGGTAAATACCGAAATATACGGCGAGTTTTAACTTCAAGTCACACAAGGTAGCATGATAATAATCCTTTTATTTAAAATCATTATATTACTAACAACTCAGCAGGACAGAAGGTAATGACTCAACATAGTAAATTTACCTTGAAAACCAATTTACCAAATAATAGTATTAGGAAAAGAACTCAAGAAATGACGGCAAGGCAATAAGTCAATGACAATAACTCAAATCCTCAGAAATTAGTGAAAAACAGAATTACAAATTCTCAGAGTGTCGTACGAAGAACTTAAGCCAATACAATAAAACATGGAATACAAAGCACAAAATATGTTGCGGCGCGCAACCCGATCCACCATATAATATCAATATCATAATTCACCCTTATTCCACCATATCAACTCCCCTTATTTCACCTGTTGCGGCGTGCAGCTGATCCCACTGTATAATATCAATATCATAATTCACGCTTATTTCGCCATATCAAATCACCCTTATTTCACTTGTTGCGGCATTCAACCAGATCCTACCGTACAATATCATTATCATAATACTAAACAAAATATGTTGCGGCGTGCGCCCCGATCCCACCATATAATATCAATATCATAATTCACCCTTATTCCACCACCTCCCTTATTTCACATGTTGCGGCGTGCAAACCGATCCCCCGTAAAATAATTTAAATCAACAACAACAATTCAATAACTCCATTTACGAGAATTTCTACAATCAAGGGTATCAGTACAAGGCAACAAAGGAGCCACGTATAAGCCGAAGAAATAGAACAAACTTCACAAAAATGACAGGACAGGTAAAGTACGTGATATCTAAGTATGCAATCATAACAATTAGGACATGTAGCAAATAAGCACAAGGTCATAGAAGAAACTCAACAATCAAGAGGTAACACGACAATAAGGAAGGCAATAACTTCAGCTAAGGCATATAAGGACCAAATAACGAGTAAGAAGTACAGTAGGTGCTAACAGCGTCAAATAGAGCACGTAAGAGTAGACTAACAACAAGATATCACATGTTATGACAATTCAATTAAAGGCATGGAAAGACAATAGACAATCTAAGCTGGTCAAATAACATATATAGACCGTTTACCCACACGTCATCTTGCGTACACGGCCTTCACATAACAAGATAGCATAATTTTACTCAATTACTAAGGGGTAGTTTCCCCCACACAAAGTTAGGCACGACACTTACCTCAATTCGGCAAACTCAATACCCAATTTAGCTTTTCCTTTACCAATTCACCACCGCTCAGCTCAATCTAGCCAAAGACGACTTAAATACATCAAACAATGCAAGAGAAAACAATTTTAATTAACAAAGCAATGACCCTTATACAATTTGTAAAAAGTCAATAAAAGTCAACCCCCCGGCCCGCACCTCGGAACCCAATAAAATTTACAAAAACTGAACACCCATTACGATACGAGTTCAACCATACCAAAATTATCAATTTCCGACATCAATTCGTCCTTCAGATCATCATTTTATATTTTGAAAGACTTTACAATTTTTCCCAATTTTTCTCTTAGATTCTCATGAATATGATGTTAAATCTAATGTATAGTCATAAAATATAATTGAAAATTGATTAGAGGTACTTACCCCATAATTTGATATGAAAATCCTTCCATAAAATCGCCTCCCATTGAGGCTAAGGTTCAAAACATGATAAAAAATGAAGCTAAGTCCCGAAATGGAAGTCTTAATACCAGCCTCAGATGTCGCATTTGCGAAATCCGGATCGCAATTGCAATGTTCGCAAATGAGATAAAAGTGTCGCAAAAGCAAGGCTGACCAGCTCTATCAAGGTCGCAAAGGTGATACAAGACTTGCAAAAGCGAGCATAGTGTTTTCCGCAAAAGCGACAGTTTGCATAGCAAATGCGGAGCTGCCTAATCGGATATGCGATGAAATAGTTCGCAAATGCAAACTCCCTTGACCAACCCATCGTTGTAAAAGAGAGAATGATCTCGTAAATGCGGACATCGCAGATGCGATGAAAACCTCGCAAATGCGAGAACAGAGACACCAGCAAAGCTGAACCTTCTTCTAACACTCCGAAATGTATACGAAACTCATCCGGGCCCTCCACGCTCTAAACCAAACATCCACACAAGTCTGAAAACATAACACAAACTTGCTTGCCCAATCGGAACACCAAAATAACCTCTAGAATAGCGAATCAGACGCCAAAATGCATGAAAATTACAATGAACTTCAAGAACTTCTAGAATCGCAACCACGCGTCTCAACCATATCAATTAAACTTCAAATGACACCAAATACTGCTGGCAAGATCCATATGAAAAAACAGATCTATTCCAAGTTCCAAAATCAAAATCCGAACCCGATATCCTTACAGCCAAACCATGGTCAAACTTATGAAAATTCTAAACTTTTAAATTGCCGGCTTCCGCCAAATGATGTCGAAACCTTTTTGAAACATACAAATGAAATTCCGGGCAAAGGCCCAAGTCCAAAATCACCATCCAGACCTACTAGAACCATTGAAACTCCGGTCTGAGGTCAAATACTAAAAAGTCAAACCTTGGTCAATTCTTTCAACTTCGAACTTCTCGAGGCGAGTCACTCCTAAAAACCCTTTCCGAACTCCTCAAAAACCCAAACCAATGATGCACACAAGTCATAATACACTGTGTGAAGCTATCGTG